TGACGCCTGCACACAAAGCCAAGTACCAGCAATACTGGGGCGGCACTCCCTGGAAAGGTGCGATGCCCGAGGCCGCGCAAGCAAGTGCAATGTCAGTCCAATATGTGAAGTCAATCGTCAGTCGTCATCGCTGCAGTCAGCCTTTCATATTTTGATTCCTAAAAGTCTCAAGCCGGGCCTTCTCTGGTCACAACCTGAAATCCCAATAAGTAGTCTTACCTCGTAAAGTCGTAAACCATATTTTATGTTATGGTGATATAAACCTTGTTTGTTTGCGTCCGCCATGCATTCGAATTTCATTCGAATCTCATTGGCGAAACAATAAGCTCTTACACCATGTGGGCTCGTGGACCATGCCATTTGTTCCAACCTGTACGGCTTCGAACAGTCCGGGCAGCTTTCGGAAGACCCCTGAACCGTGTGTGTGTAATCTGTAAAACTTCAGGAGTCGACGCCGACACCGGCACCGGTGCCAGGCGAGGATGCAGAGGAATCCGAGGAGGTCGAGGATGTCGCCGAGGCCGAGGTTAGGAGACCAAATAAAATAACATCGGCCTCAGTGTTGAGTCTGGAGTCATCCCAAACACCCAAATTACAAGCTCCATAACACCCAATCCGAATCCCTAAACAAGAGTAAGCCGTGAGCCACGAACGGAAACACTAGGCCTTAGGACAGTGAGCATGCCAGGATCCTTCGTCGGCAAAGGATAAAAAGGCCAAGAAAGACAAGAAGGACAAGACAGGCAAAAAAGACAAAAAGGACACAAAGGACAAAAAGGACAAAAAGGACAAAAAGGACAAGAAAGAAAAGGGTGCAAAAGACCAGGACGACGAGGTTCAGGAGTTCTGGGCTTTGGGTATTTGGTTTATGCGGTTTTGCGGCACTCGCTGCTTTGCTTGGTTGTGCTTGTGACCGTACCAGCGCTAGGCTGGAAAAGCAAAGAAAGGAAAGAAGCACAAGGCCGCCAAAGACACGGGTGCTGAGGATGCGAAGGTCAGCGAGACCGCACAGAAATCCTTGAGCAAGGTTTTTTCCGACTGAGAGTCACAGAATAGTTTGGCACTCGCAGCTGACCGATCTTTCAGCATCTGAACCAAACACATCCCCTGACACCCTGACAGTTCGGGCCTAGAAGCTGCACTTGGCCGTCAAATTCTGTCAGCTGCCAACTCTTGGGGTTCCTGTTCTGATTCCGAGCTGGGCAGTTGAGATGTAGCTACCAAACACTATGTTGACACAATGGCATTGGTGCGATGGCTTGGGTTCATGAGCGGGATGACGAAGATCCGAGACGGGTCGTTCGAGTCGCTGGCCCACCGGGCCTCCGCGGCATTGTCATGCCTGTTTTGGCAACTGCTTCGAGCTGGACGAGAAAACATGTGCGACACTTTTCAGGTGTTGTGTGTAGGCGTTGCGTGACTGCTGTGTAAGACTACATGTGGAGCACTTGAGCATTGGAAGGGTTTGTACTTTGAGAAGTGGACCCATACGCCATTTTGAAAGGTGGACTCTCATCACCCAGCTTAATTAACTTGGTCGCATGTCTCCCAACTGTGCCTTCATTGCCAAAGCAACAAGATTGAACTTGGTGGCATAATCAGCAGCCCAGAACGAACTTTCCACTAAACCCGACAGTCCGACCATGGCCGGGGAAATCCAATTCCGCAAACCCACAATCACGATCCACAGTACAAGCCTCTAGGCAAGAGGTGGACTTCTGAGATCTGATCAGGTGGAGAGCGCCAATGTCGAGGTCTACGACGATGGCGATGATGATGAATGTGACGATGATGTCGGTGTTGTTACTCCTGTCGCCACCGCTGTTGTTGTGGCGGCTAGGTTCGTAGGTTGTAAGCGTAGGTTGTGGTTGTACCTTTTGTGTTGTTGCTGTTGCTGTGTTTCTACCGTTTTCGTGGTTGGTAGTGCAGTAGCATGAACCAATTGCAATGGGGCAACGTGTGAGCATCCGCGGGGTACAGTCGACATTTCAGTGTTTGGATCAGATTTTTGCCTCCTCATGTGCTCAATGGACGCTTTAGGTTTTGGATCGAATTTGTCTTTTTTCATATGCTCATAATGACGGGACTTAGAAGACACATCGATGTCACATCGACTCAATAAACTGCATGCATATTTCTGGTTATGGTGTGCTTTGCCCCTGATCGGGCCGATGTCTATCTGTTCTCATTTTTACTCTGCTCGGAAACGATTTGGGCTTATTCCCGAAGCTCACGGCTTAATTACTGCAGGCACCCCTTGTTTAAGGAATTTGCCACTTCCCGACCCGCCTGTGGCGCTATGCGCACTTCGACGCATTTGAGGCCAAAGCGATGGTCCTCCTTCAAAGGTTGGTCGCCCAGGAGGAGGGCCGCACACAGAATCCGCCGGATGGCACGCGCCCTTGGTTCCGGCTAGGGCACCCTCGGGCGCAAGACCGTTGGAGGGCGGCGGCAGATGAGTTCCTCAGAGAAGGGGGCCTCGGACCCGGCCTCCAACTTCCCTGCATTTCCACGGAACTTATGCCACACCTTCATAGTGAAGACCACGACAACCGCCAGTATGCCTTCTCACGTTTGAAGGAAATGTACAATGACAGGAACTACCAAATGCTTTATCTTCTGAAAGAGAGTCACTTCCCCTCGAGTGGACGTGACATGCAACGCCTGCTCGACAGCTGGCCGTCCGATGAGGCGTCCGGCTCTACCAGGTGATCTCCGCTCACCCCGATCGGGACAGACGACATACGTCGTTGTGTCGTTATTCCGGCATTCGGTGTCTCCATTGCCAGAGCAACAAGGGACTAACGCGACGGGCAGGTGATCGCGGCGTACCGACCAGTCACGTCGTGTGGAGCTACCTGCACGTCGACATACGTCGATGTCCGTTTTTAATTGACACCTGATCGGTTCCCCTCCTTGCTTCCTGGCAAGTGCCCCGAGGGAGACGCCAGCCAACGACAATATTCGGGCTTCGACTAGCCTCTGCGTATCTCAACTAGTGACATGGGCCCGTGCTTTGTCACTTTCGCACTAACTTTCGCGTCCTGCGGGCTGCGAACTCTGTGATCTGGAAGGAAGCTTGACGGGCATGGGCGCCTTTCTCCCGGTGGATCCCGGGTGTGCGGATGCCGTCTCCTGCACGAGTTGGATCTGGCCATGGCCTTGGTTTCGTCTCGGGTGACCCATTCTGTTTGCTCGGTGCGTTGCGCTGCCGGCGACGCACACCAGGGGTTTCCACGGCCACCTATTACCAGGGCAGACACGCGCGTTGGTTGGTGGGTTTGACCACCGGCAGCACATCACCGCTTGGCACACTGGGGCTCTTCTCAATTGTGCCGGCCATATGGCTAACGCTGAGTCGAACTACTCGTACATCGATAGAGCTGACACCTTCAACGGCCTTTGGACTTTGGGGCCATAGGGCGGCGCCCGCGCTGTGCTCTCATTCCGTCGAGTCGCATTGGGCTGCCAGCACGTCGACATACGTCGATGTCCCTTTTCTGACGATAGTCTTCCTCCTGCATTTTGGCAAGTGATGGAGCGAGACTTCGGCCAACGTCAGTACTCGGGCATTGACGTGCTTCATCATTCACAGGTAAGAGCACTGGCCCGCACTCAACATCACTTGGACCTTCGCACCCAGCGGTTCTCCAATGTGCGGCCGGGTGATCCACTTGTCTGGGCTTAGGTGCGTCCATTTAAAGTGCATACGGACGAGTGGGTGCCTTCATCTCACTTCTTGGCCTTCCGTGTAATTGGGGCCCAGCCGGCTCCTCTTGGTGTTGGCCGCTTCTGGCTGACGTTGAGTCGGATCGACTCAGATGCCGTTTCAGCGGATATTTGCATCGGCCTACGCAGGATTCCGGGCCAAGGGGCGGCGCTTGCACTGTGCTCCGCGTTGATTGCTGGACTTGACCGCACACAGTGTTCATCTGTCCCGTCCTTGGGTTCCGGCCTTTCTGGCCACTTGCGTCGGAACGACTCAGACACCGCTAGACCTGAGCCGGCGAAACCGACGACGTACGTCGTTGTGGTTCTTTCCTTTCTAGCATCCACCGCATGGGAGTCGGCCTGTTTGGCCAACAAGCTGGGCACATCACCTGAAGGATTGGAAAGGATGGCACCACTACAATGCGAATTGGCCGGATGCAAGGACGCTAGCCGCCAGCTCCAGTCGCGGCGCAGGGGGCGGGGCCTGTCCTGACCGAGCAGCTGCGCCCTCTTGCCTTGGCCCAAGCCTTCGACGGGTATCGCCTTCAACATCTGTAACGTGTCAGTGGAGGACACGGTGCACCGCGTCAGAACTTCCCCAGAAGCTGCACATGTCAAGGTTATTAGGCCTTGTTGTCGTTGCCTCAGCCTTTGGCGCCCTTGCCTTGTCGTGGGACACCGCTGACGGGCGCTCTATAGCAGTTATTGGCAAATGCTTCGAATGGGTGCGGACTCACTGGCTGAACGCCGGCAGCCAATCCGTCACAGTTTTGCACGCCGTGGATCGTTGTGTTCGATCCCGGAGGCCGGCCGCGTTTTGCCCGGCCTTGAGTCGCAACGACTCTGGCACCCATTGATCCGGAAACCGTCCGCCATGGCGAACACTGGACTTTTGGACTTTGGTGTGCACGATCGTGACGTAACAAAGCGCAGGGGCTGCCCGTTGTCTGGCGAGACTAGAACGGCTGCCGGAGCTTGGAATTGGCTCCACCTGTTGCTTTGGGCAGCTCAGAGCGACGGCTCTTGGTTGCTTCGGATCGGTCGCTGAGGCTCCGTAGTTGTGCTGAACGGCTAACACCGGCAAAGCCTGTGCGCCGCAGCCCTTGTAGAGCTTCGCGTTTTTGTTTCACTGCTTTGAAGGTTAGTTTGTAGTTTTTGCTTCGCTTGTCGTTTGTTAGTTTGTAGGGACCGAGTGCTACAGCCGTAGTCGACGAGGCCCACTCACGCCAAAAAAAAAACAAGACGATATTCCCTTAAGTGAGTTGCAGTCTGGTTGCAAGGGACCACCGATGGTGGGCGATTTTGCTGGATCCTTTGATGAGTTCGTCGATGGGTTTGGCCGCTGCTCTCCCGGTCGCTGGAAGCCATGCAACCCGGGCACGGTGATGTCAGCGGAAGCCTTGGACTTTGCGCAGCGCTTGAATCAGGCGGTTTGTCGTGGAGTGTGTTCCAGATTTGGCGAAGTCGACTTTTCGTCTGGCGACGGGGCACTGGAACGGTCCGCTGTTGACCAGGGTCGCTTGGAAGAGCTTGGGGAGGACTGGTTCAACATGCTGCCAGATCCCATCCGGGCATGAGAGATGATTCCTCATCAACCTTTCTACTTGAGGGCGATAGCTCAGACCCTTCGGATTCTTGGGGACCCAGACTATCGCATCATCGAGGAAGGAAAATTCTGCTTCGTGAACGGCGTCGAGGTCGGGCACACGGCGCCGCTGGGGCCAGTGCCTCAAGTGTTTCGATTCCGCCGAAAGGATCAGAAATATGATGAGTCCATCTGGCAGCCGTTGATGCAGAACTACCGCGACGGGGCTGAAGTCGAGAAGGCCTTGGAGGAGGCTTTCACCAAAGAAGAGGCAGAAGGACGTATGTTCCCGCTTTCTTTGGCGGAGGCGAAGGCGCGCTTCCCAGGGCCTGCTCCACGCATTGCCGCTCAAGCAGTAATTCCGAAACCTGACCATGAGTTTCGTGTGGTCCATGATGGGACCCACGGGGTCCACGTCAACAATGAGATTGTTATGCTTGACCGTCTTGAATCACCTGGACCGAGGGAAATTTCTTCGATTCAGAAGCTGGGCATGGTTGCCGAAGAGAAAGGTACTGTTCGGACTTGTGGGAGGCGCACAGGCGATATTTGCACCACCCAGAGCATTGGGGGGTGCTCGCTTGCAGAACGCGGAGCGATTCATCAGTTGTATGGCTTAATCGCACAGGAACTTTCGGAATTGCTTCGGCGGCCTATTGGTTCGCCCGCTTGATTGGTCTGGTGGGCCGCTTGTCTCTTAGAGTGATGCTGCAGGCTTTTGTTTTCATGCTTATTTATGCAGACGACCTCCATCTGCTCAGCGGCGGTTCAGATCGATGGCTCAACCTCTGGATGTCCCTTGCCCTTTTGTGCATGCAGGGCACACCCTTCTCGGAGAAGAAGTGGCGCGGGGGACTGCAAGTTGATTGGGTCGGCTACTGGATTGATTATATGATTATGGCCGCTTTAAGATTGGGATTTCGGAGAAGAGATGCCAGTGGATCATATGATCGATTGAGGGCATGGAGGGAGATGGCTGGCTCGTGGACGTTCGTCGTTTTCACGAACTCCACGGCCGGTTAGGCTTCATGTCGCAAATCTTGATATGGATCAGGCCCTTCCTTGCACGTGGCTACGCCTGGTTAGCGGTGGTCAGCAAGGGAGCCGTTTTGGCACTACCCAACTTGATCCGCTGCACTCTGCGATTCATTCTTGATCGGCTCCGTGCAGGCTCGCGAACGTATCCTGCTGGGTTGGCGGATAAGGATTATGGGGAACTCTTCAGAACCGATGCTGCTTGCAACGCTGACTCCGTGGCACTAGGCGGTTGGTTCCTTGTCAAGGGCGTTGTCTGTAAATCCGCTCCTTGGTTTCAGATTACGCTTCGTCGCGAAGAGGCTCCTTGGCTTTTCAAGGACGGTCTTGGGAGCTCATGGGCCAGTACCTCTGCCGAACTGCTTTCTTCGATAGTGGCGCTTCATCTGCTGGAGAGGGATTTTCCGGAAGTGTTTTCATGTCCTGGTTCTTTCCGGGCCTGCTTTGCTGGAGGAACAGACAACAAGTCGGCGGATGCCTCCGGCCTCACAAGGGAAGTGGCCTGCAGCCGCCTAAGAGGGCCTACAGCGCCCTCCTCTCCCAGCACCACCGGGCCTTGATTGGAGACCACATATATCATTGGATGTGCGTGCGACGGCGTGCCGACTTCGGGTGTCCGCAGGCGACATTGCAGTTGCGGCCTTGCCAGGCGCTTTTTCTTTCTACGCTATTGCTTCGGACACCGTCAATCGGACGATGCTGGGGCGGCTCCAGCTCTTTGTCTCTACCCGGCTGTGTCCCGATCCCCAACTGCAGGCGAACACGCATGCAGCCTTTCTCCCGTCTGTGGCAACCACGGGCCTCCCGCGCGCCCTTTACGATACTGACGGGTTTGCTCAGCCCGACCCAGCGGATGGCGCTCCGGCTAAGGAGGACCCTGACTTGACCGCCGAACTCCGTAGCCAGAGTTGTGCTGCCTCCACTCCCACAGCCCCTAGTGCTACGTGGAATGACCGCGTGAATGTGCTGCTGAACGCGGTGGAGCACCCGCCCAGCCTGCTGTCGCCTGGTGTTGCCGCCGTTGCCAGCAACTGCGTTCCGCCTGAAGACGAGGAGGACTTTGAGGAGCAGCACGACATTATCCGCAACTATCTGTCCAGAGGCCGGCAGCAATTGCAGGTCGACGGCGAGGCAACCACGGCTGCCCTGCGCCAATTGCTCCCCAGCCGAACGGACTGCCTTGCACTTCTCTCGCTGCCCTTCTCCTTGCCGGCGTGCGAAGTCAAAGTCAGCCCTCAGAACTTCGGAGCTAGAGTCGTCGATTTTGCGGACCGCGCTCTCATGCTTCGCCATTGCACACAAACTGAGGCTTTCCGCGTATGCCTTACCCCGTTGCTTGCAGTTTCCATTGCGCTGGCGCAATTTTGTGATCCGGTGCTGCGGCTGCCGGAAGGGCGTATTTTCGACCTCTCGTGGTATGAGTTGGCGCGCCCCGAGATCTGGTGGTGGTTCCTGTTGGATGAGCTAGATGGCCTCAAGCTCTCGCTCCCCAGTGCAAAGGAAGGACACAAGTCACCAGTGCGGGACGGGAGCCTTATCCAAATGTCTCTTGCACCCAAGAGGGGCCCCCTACCCACGACCAAACGCCGTGGCACTGGTACCGGCGTCCGGCGGACAACGGAGGAGGGAGGCTCGAGCATTGACCCGAATCAGGGGACCCAGTTGCTTCATTGTGGCGTGCTGCTGCCGGTGCAACTGATGTTCTACCTGGCACGGGCTTTGGTGGATGAGCCGGCCGCCGCCAGCCTTGTACAACTCGTGAGCATCTCTCCAGTCTGTCAGAATGGCCATCGCTTCATGGAGATACGCGTTAAAGTTAAGTACCGGCCTCGATTGTAGGGCGGCCCCAAATTGCCATTGCTGCGCGAATGCTGGAGGGCTTCCGGCGTGGACGCCTGCCTGCCAGACGGGGGGAGTTCGACCCACAGATGTTCTCGTACAAGGGCGTTTGCAAGGGTACTTTTCGGCTTTTGCTTCCGCTTGACGAAATCCACTTGGGGCTGCAAGCACCGCCCACTCTCCCCATCCAATCCGCTGGCCTTTTGCACGCGGCCCTGATGCGCCTCCGGGCGGCTGCTACCACCCCAGGCTGGGATCTCAGTGCAGTCGTGGTGTTTTGGCTGAGGGGGCCCCAGAAAAAGGACTTTTACTTCCCGGTAGTGGGACGTCAAAGCCAACGTTCTCCTTCATCACCAAGAGTCGGGTGATAAGACAATGCCCGATGGGAGCCGTGCTTGGTGTCGCCTACGCGACCCCTGAGGCCAAGAACGCTGGAAAGCAGAAGCTGACGCTTTCTTGGCGCAAGGTGGACTCGGCCCTGGCATTCAAATCCCTTTCGTATCCTCAGAACTCATGCCGCATCTCCATGCGCCCGATCTGGATATGCACAGGTACAGCTTCCACCGTTTGCGTGAGATGTATGCGCAGCGCAATTTTCAAATGTTGTACCTTCTGCACGAGTCCCAATTTCCGCCTGGCGGCAACGACATGCAGCGCCTGCTGGATGCCTGGCCGCCGCAGTCAACGCTGGACCGCACCCAGTAACAAGAGGCGTCGGCCCATATGCCTGCGCATTGCGACCGTCGACATACGTCGTTGGGCCAATTGCCTCGCCTCAGGCTATAGGTTGGATTTGTGGACTTCGTGTGCACGATCGGGACACAACAGGACTCCGGGGCTGACCGTTGTTCGACGGAACTAGAACGGCGGCCGGAGCTTTGACTTTGGGCTCCACCGGTATAGTCTTGGACAGCTTGGGCGACGGCCTTCTGCTGTTGTGGATCGGTCGCTGAGGCCCCGTAGCTCGTGCTGAACGGCCAACACCGGCAAAGCCTGTGCGCCGCAGCTAGCTCTTTTGCCTCCTTTTTTGCGCTGCCCGTTTCACCACTGTCTTTGTTTGTTTGTTGGTTTGTCTTGTTTGTAGGGACCGAGTGCTACAGCCGTAGTCGACGAAGCCCGCCCACCCAAAAATTTTTTCAATCTCTCTCTCTCTCTCTCTCTCTCTCTCTCTCTCTCTTCTTTCTCACTTCTTTCTCTCTTCTTATAGGGCGGAGAAGCAATCTCGATGCACCTGTGTCAAGACAGTCGGTTCCTCAAACGAAACCTAACTTGCAATGTGAAACAATTTTTGTTTGGTTTTACGGATCTATGTGGAGTCGGCAATGTTCACGCTGGGCGTTCTGAAGCTTTCGGTCACTCATCAGCCTTCTATTTTGATTGCACCTTGCCTCGGTGCTTCGTGCTGCTGCCCATTGTCTGAACTGCCCTTTTTTTGTGCCCTTGCGAGACCCACCCTGGTGGAAAGTGTACCTGACTGGATGGTGCTGTTGCCTTACCGATCAGATGTTGCAGAGCAATCTATTGCGTTGGCTGCATGCCAGTTGTTGCGATCAGCAGTGGAAAACCGTTGCGGTCAGCAGCATCTGCTGTAGTCATCCCTGTCCAATGTCTTTCAGCACAGCATTTCTCTTGCCCGGACTGAGATTTATGCAGCCATCTAGCCGTGCAGATGACAACAGATCCAATCTCAGGGACTGATTGCGCTACAGTATTGAGCCGCGATCTTTGGTGTCTCTTCTGTGATGTGTCTCTGGGTCATGAGGGAGAGATCTGTTTCTTTAACTGTATTCGGAATGCCAACCGGAACGCTGCCAGTAATTTGCAAAGTTTCCTCCGATTACCTATTTGCCTTCCATGACACAGATCGTGGAAATCAGGTCACATGGGTTCAACTTGCGCTCATTTCGTGTCGCGGTACGGATTCCAGCCAGGCTGGCTGTCTGCCGAGATGTCTGGTGGCATACTGGCCTCGCGCTTCCGGTCCTGTTTCCTTAAGTTATTGAAAGCCAATGAGATCCCCGTTACGACGGCCAGTCGCTGCAGAAATCTCCACGTTTTTGGGTTGCCTAATCAATCTGGCTTTTATGGTTCCGTTTGTTTTGATTCTTTCTTTCATCAGATGTTTTTCTTGTGTCAAGCGAATAAGTTTTTCGCGACCAATACGTTACTTCCCAATCTTTTATGCACCTGTTCATGTGCTGGCGCAAAGTGCACCTGCCTTCGGGCCTTGAGCATTTCCTGCTCCACGTCTTGAGCTCCAGTTTGCGCGTCTCACGCAGCAGACTCAGCTCGACTCGTGTAAACTCGAAACGGTTCGAAACGGTTGGAGCATTTTCGACGGCTCCTTCTACTCTTGACTATTGAGATAGCGAACGAAAGTCTGACCGCCGCATTTTCTTCTCACTCTTTTGATGCCAGCGATCTGTTTTACCGCTGTTTTGTTTGTTTCGCTCTTTTTGGTGGGTTGACATAGAGATTGAGAGCAGCCGCTGTCGACGAAACCCGTCCAAGCAAAAAGAGGCCCACTGCCAGCCTGTCGATCCCCAGGTTTGGGAGGAGGAGCATCATCCAACTGCATTAAAAACCACGGCCTGAATGAAAGTCTTCACGCTTTTTTTTCCACTCATGGGAAGCCATCCTGCCACGGAGCCGGTCACGTTTCAAGGTGCGGATAAGCAGGATCATTGGTTCGCATGTCGGACCTTGGCTCTGCGGTCGAGACATCATACTGTTCCAAACGAAAGAACCGGGGAGGGTAGTAGAAATCCTTGGCCCGTGGCCTCAAAAGCCAACATGAGGAGGCGGGTCGCAGGTCAAACCCCGACGAGCTGCACCTGTGATCAGATGGGTGAGTTCTTCTACCAAGTTTCCAGGTAGGCTGCTTTTGATATGTCTGCATTTTGCCAGCCCAGCCAGCCGAGCTAGCAAAGCTATGTACACCTTTACCGGGTATGGGCTGGGATCGACTGCTCAACAAACGGCTTCCATCACGCTCCCACTGAGAATTCAGAGGTGCTGCGGACCGTGTCAGCAGCAAGCGGGAGTTTTTGCAGCTTTTCTTGTTACTGAGAAACATAGATTTCTTATGAATCATGGCGGCGTGGCGCCCAGGGAAGGCGCGGTGGAAGATTGTGAAGCGATTCACGGGGTTTAAGAGCTGATTGATGCGTTCTGACATGATTCTGGGATTGCCAGCGGAAGCAATCTTGAAAGTGCATGTTCCCTGAACCCCAAAACCCCAACCCATAAACGTAGTAGCAACCGCACATTCGATGCACTCTGGCACTCAAGTCTATCAGGTCTTGCCTGTGCTTGTGCTTTCAGCTTGTGCTCATCGCAGCAGCCTGGAGCTGGACGTCCAGAAATCTGCATCTGGGCTGCATGCTGGACTGTAGCTTTAAAGTTTCAGTCTTCAATACATTTCAAATGGACTCAAAGCACAGGCTCAACACCGAACGCGGGGCAAGAGCAAAGCTAAGGCGTGGACGAGTGAGTGCGAGTGGAAGTGCAGGGAAGTTTCCCTCAAAGGCGTGGACAAGATCGAACACGGAGATACGGAGTTTGCGGCCGCTGGGTTGAACATAGCAGGTCGAGTTTCAGTTCATGTCGCCATTCTTGCAGTTGCCATGTTCCCGTACATTGTCCTGTCCATTTTCTATCTTTCAAGGGTAGTTTCTTGATTTAGTTGGTTCTCACAGAGTTGCCTGGCTTTCATCCTCCAGTCCTCCAGGTGTGCACAGGTGTGGACATCAACGATTGTGACCACTACATCGCTTATTGGGATCTGTATCAGGAGTTGGTTCGCTGCAAATCCTACGATGGCATTTGCGCAGTGACTGAAACGACACCCGAAGGGCCCCCCAAGCTAACGAAAACTACATCCAACTAGGTGCGTGGCGCATGTGCGCCCCTGATGGATTGTGAGTGTCATAGCAGGAAAACACTGGTAAACGCGAGAGATTATGCATGTAGGCTTGGAGAGGGGCTTGGGAACAAAAATATTAGTTTTGGTTCGCTTCTAAAGTTACTGTTGGTTTCGCACATTGCGGTTTTTTTGCTGCACTCTTGGTAGTCGTCGTTGCAAAATCTCACTGCATGATATGGCAGTTGTTGTGGCCACTAGAGCTGCTGACATGACAAAGTCTTTAGGTTTGAGGCTTTCGGGATCACGTCTTCAGGGTTTACAGTACAGGTAGCAAAGTCTACTCTCTGTAGTGTCTGCAGACAGCAGCTCCAGAAGCTAGCGATGCATCGCTGAAAAGCTGCTTCCCAAGTGCAGCCAGAAGTCTGCAGAAAGCACGGGCGGAAGCTTGGAGCTTGCAACGGTGTTTTGTTTGGGTTTAGGGGCTAGTGTTGACGTCGTGAGGGTTTACAGTTGAGGCACCAGAGTCCACTCCCTGTAGTGCTGGCAGACGGCTGCTGCAGAAGCTAGTCCTGCATCGCTCGAAAGCTGCTTCCCAAGTGCAGCAAGAACTCTGCAGGAGAACACGGGCCTTTGCTTTGCCTGTACATGTACTGGTGCACGAGCTGCCGAACCAAATTGCTTTCGCAGGCATTCTGGCCACGACCGCTTTTGCGCGAGACCTTGTTGCCTATGAATGTCTTCAGGCCCAGCCAGCTTCGATCGATGCACTGCGTGCCGGCAAGTCTGCTCACAGACCTGGCTTTGCCAAGGTGCCGGGGGACATGCTTCGTCCACTGTTTGTTCTGATGATTGACCGCGGCATTTTTCAACCGCATCTTTTTGGCGGCACTTTGCCATGCCACGTTTCCATCACTGAATATGACGGTAGCCTCGGGCTTGCTGACCAGCGTGAGCAATCCCGACTGGTTGATGGCCTCAAGGCTTTCTGTGGGAGGCCGGGACCCCGGAACGGTCAGCGAGGGTTCAGGCACAAAGAGAACAGGGGGCTGCCCACGTTCTCGTGCCCCCAAAACTTGAAAGTGCACAACGAAGGCCTTGGGCAGAGGTTTGCCTGCACGTTGCATCTTGCGAGTGAGTGCAGCAACTTGCGGGGCAAACCTGTTGCAAGTCTTTGAAACGTAGAACTTTCCTAAGGAAGTACCGTCGACTTCGACTGCACCTTTCAGAGAGACCTCTGAAGACCATTTCAGGCCTTCGGAAGCTTCAACGTGTCTGAGGACACCCAAGAAGTGGTCAGCCTAAGTGTCCGAATCAGCTTCGGAGCAAGAGGTATAGAGTTTAGGCTTCGGGCTTGGAATCAGTCAAGCAGCTGCTGTCCTGCCGATGTGGCAGGTCTGAGTCAGTTGCGGAGAGCGCGGCGCCAAAGTGAAATCCAGACCAACGTAGCATCTGATCAAATCCACGAGCTTGAGCGGGGAGCAGCTCAGACCGCGAAAAGCAGAGGTCTGCAGCATGTACGTGCGAGCTCTGCATTCGGAATGCAAGCACCTCAGGGTATAGGGTTTAGGTATAGAGGTTCAGGAAAAGCAGCTGGCTAGCTATGACTGTGGAACCAAAGCAGTCGCACCTCCAATGCGCTGGATGATGCACCGTGGCGGGGATCATGGTCACATCGCGGCTGTTGCAAGTCTGACACAACGGTTCTCTAGGCAGGAAGCCCTTATTCACGAGCCACTCAATCGCTTCGCTATCGTTGCTGAGGGTCTTGGTCAGGCTTTCGTCCGCAGGTTTGCGCCTGCGATGTAAGGGTTATAAGGGTTTAGGGATTGATTCGAGGGCTTAAAAAAAAGCTTTGTGAAAGCAACCCTGGAACCTGCGCAACTCCGCCGGTACCGGCACTGGCAGAGACTCGGAGTTGTCGTAGACTGCCTTGCGCTCGCGTCTCTTGGCCACCGGGCCCACCTGCTGGGTGCTCCTGCGCTTCTTCTCCACACGTTCCACTTTGGCGTACTTGCAGGCTTGCTTCTGCTTGAGTGCCTGCGCAGCAAGGAGAGGGGTTATAGTATACAGGGTTTCGTGTTTACTGTTGGCAGGAAACCCGCAACCCGGCACCTTAAAATAAACCCAAAACCCTGAACCTTAAAGCCAAAACCCTAAACCCTGAACCTTAAACCCTGAACCCTGAACCCTGAACCCTAAATCTTAGACCCTAACCAAAACCCCACAAGAATGATGGCCGAGAGCTACACCGAAAGAGCGACACCGAAGACCCTAGGCAGCGAAAGCGACAAGCACCTGGAGCTGAGTCTTCAACTCTCGAATCTTCCTTGCCGCTGGGGAGGAGCAAGTCTCCATGCGATGCCCCTCTTTGTGGCATATGCTACAGCGGTGTTGTGCGGTCTTTTTAAGACACCGCTTGGAAACAGGCATGCTTCACGAGGAAGCACGGAGCTCCGGAAGCCTTTTCCCCAGACTAGCCTTGGACCTACGGCCGCAGGTGCCCGGGCAGAAGCTTCTAAGTGCAACTGCAGCTGTAGAATCAGTAAATGCAGCGGCGGTGTGCTGTCTTTTGGCTTGGAAGCTCAGCATCTGTTGGTCGTCACAGCTACAGGTGTTGTTCGGGAGCTGCAAGTCTGCAGCGCAATACACAAACAATGTCTCGGGAAGCTCTCATGGCAGTGTGGAACATGGACATGACGTCAGCACGTAAGAGCAGACAGTCCCCGAATGATTGAACATGGCGATGGAAAGCGACAATTTCCTGGAGAACCTCTTGTTGCTGGCCAACGTCTCCCGGACAGTAGAGGTCAAGGTTTCCACTTGTGGAACCTTGGCAGGCCTGTCGAACTGGCAAGCCGGAATGGACCACGCGCAACTCGTTCGTTCTCACCCAGTTCTCTAAGGACAAGAGGAGGGCCACAAGAGAACGAATGTCCTGGAAAGCAAGGGACTGTGAGAAGTTTCGAAAACTTTTTCGCAGAATTGTCCTCCAAGAGAGCTTGCCGGTCAGCCGTCAGGAGGAAGTATACATGGAGCAATCCGTCGATCAGATGCTTGGAAACCTGTGCGACCCACATCTCACGATCCTGTGCAGCCCGGCTCAGAGTTTATCTATTGGACAAAAGCTTGGAAGGCACAGAGAAGAAAACCAAATGTGGACATTTGAAGACACCGTCCTGTGTAACAGGCAGCGTCGTGAGCAAAGTAGCTGCGAGCGCCGGCAGAATGTCCAGAACACGCAGCTCGACGCATCTCTCCATTCAGACCTGCGGCAGGCTTAACGCACTGGGCGATGTGGGTGAGAGGCGCAGGGTTTTCGAGGTTCAAAGCCGTTGCTTAATCCAGTGGCCTGCAAAAGGACGGAGCGCCGACAACAGCTCTGCAGCGACACGCCCCGTTCACTGAGACAAAACAGCTTTGCGACATCTGGTTGCTGACGAAAGATTTGAGTCTTTACGAGCATGGATCTGCTGTCTGCCAATCAGAGCTTTTTTGTCTGGGCACAACTGCTGTGGAAAAGCGGAGAGCAGCATGCAACAAAAGAGTTGAGCTATACGGCGGAGCACGTCAACCCATGGACTTGCTGCCATGGTTCAAAAGATATGTGCGAACGTCCCTGCCATAGGCACGTATCTCGCGACCGGCCTCGTTCAAGCGAGCCATGGGAAATGGAACACTATGCCAACACTTTCTTTTTCCGTCGCGGCCATGTTTCCAGAATTGCGAACATAAGAGACGGAGGTGGTTCTCCCACCTGCAGCACAGGGAATGGAAACATGAAGAAGTTCAGGATCAAGTTGAGTCTAGGCAGCGCCTGCCGCTGCTAAAGATGTGAGGCTGCATCGAATAGCTGCATTTTTCGCAGGCCCCCCATTTCGGCTGCCGCTTCTCAGAAGGAGCAGCGCGCGAGGCCTCTGCATCGGGCACGTCAGCGCCGGATTCAGGCTTTAGGCTTGACGGTTCAGGGTTCAAGGCTCAGGGTCCAGCGCATAATCTAAGGCCTCTGCGTCAGGAATCTCTTGGCCGGGAAGTTCCTGATATTGCTCAATGGGATCTGGAAGAGCAGCCTGCGGATGAGAGGCAGAGTGCAGCGAGCAGACTAAAACATTCGATATGAGAAAAGGAATGCTTACATTGATCATGGCTGTTTATACAATGTTTTTAATCCAATACCGCAATGCGTCGCTAACCGAACCCTTTATATCGCTAATCGCTAATCGCAACCTCCAGGAGGGGTGGGTGGTGGAGGGGTGGCTGGAAGGGTGGGTGGTTGGCTCAGGTGGTGGGTGGCTGGCTCAGGTAGTGGGTGGCTGGAGCGTGGGTGGCTGGAGTGTGGGTGGCTGGAAAGGTGGCTGGAGGGCTGATGGCTGGAAGGTGGGTGGCAGGAGGGGGGGTGGTTGGTGAGGTCTGCCATTGAGCCAAAATTTTAGGGACTTTAGGGTTGAGGCCCAACCCATGCGGGTTAGGTTGTGTTCCAGACCGATGCTTGCATGGGGCTAGGGAGGTACGTGCAGGCAAAGCCGCTTCCCCCCCCTTCCCACTCGCTCAAATGGCCTCTCGTGAGCGCAAGCCACGGTCTGGAAAGAGGGCTGAGGTTTAGGGTTCTTTCTTTTTGTTTGCTTTTTGCAACGTAGCGCAGAACATGTTCACTGGCCTAGCATGGCTGGCGCAGGACAGGTTGGTGGGTGGCTGGAGGGTGGGTGCCTGCAGGATGGTGCTGGTGCTGGTGGGTGTGAGGCTATGGTGGGCTATTCGCAACACACACGCATGTGTAAAGTTTTCCTTTAAAAATAGCCTAAACCTATCCAGGTATGGGCGGTACACGGTCCTGGGAGGCCCTCTGCGAACGGACACCGGTCGTTCCCACAGAAGAGGAAGCAGCCGCTGCAGCAGGTGCACGAGCCGGTGCTTCCAAGAGATGCGGATTCCAGCTCCTTGCCTGGAGTTCTTGTGCACGCATGTAAAGTTTTCTCTTAAAAATACCCTAAACCTATCCAGGTATCGGCAGTACACGGTCCTGCGAGGCCCTCTGCGAACGGACACCGGTCGTTCCCACAGAAGAGGAAGCAGCCGCTGCAGCAGGAGCACGAGCCTGTGCTTCCAAGAGATGCGGATTCCAGATCCGTGCCTGGAGATCTTGCGCCTCGCCGGACGACTCCATCTGCTGCACCTGCGGAGAGTGTGCGTGTGCGAGCGCATGCGTGTGCGAGCATGTGTGTGTATGTGTGTCTCCATGTCCCTGTGCATCAGAAATATCAGAGTTATGACAGCAATCCAATTCCCTCACATGCAGAAACCTCAGAGGCGTGACAGCGATCCGATTCCCTTACATGAAGAACTCTGACAAGTATGCGAGCGAGCCGGTTCCTGTGGTTTGGAAAGTGTGAAAGATGTCGGGCCTCCTCGTCAGAAGAGTCAGCAACAGCGACCACAGCAGGCTGAGAGGAATAGCCCTGCAAGCCAGACCACTGAGCTGCGTACCAATCCTTGAAGCGCCGTGACGCCGGACTATCTTCGGCCCTCAGGGGGGAGGAACGAGCTCCGTGACTGAGCCAACTTGCCAACGTCCTTGGACTAGGGCTGCCCGCAGCGACAGAGGGCCGACGCGGGGGAGTGGCCGGCGCCGCCACGTCCGGAGCCGTGTCACCAAGAGGAGCACGAGACACGTTTCGATCAACGGGCACCAGTGCCAGCCAGTCGGCCTCACTCTGCGGCAGAGACCATGTTGAAGGCCAACCCCAGCGTCGATGTATCCATGATGCGTACCGCAGCGCGGCTGCCAAGACGTGCATCCCACACGCACCGGACGTCACACAAGCCGTGGCAGAACGGGCAAGGGAAGGCGCATAGCGAATCAACCATATCCAGGGTAATCCTCCGCGTCGGGTGTCGCGGAGAACCGCTGTCCAAGCAATGTGGACCGCAGTGTCTGGAAATTGACACAGCACCTGCACGGGACGCAGACAGGAAAGAGAAGTTCTGCAAAGTCTCCAACAGAGACAAAATCTGAAGAATTCTAGCAAGCGGCCCAGAGGTGGTCCTCAATGTCGCAGTACTGGAACTCGCTGAACCGCCGCAGCGCAGACGGCAGTGGCCAACGTGCGACGCGCAGAACCAGGACAGTTGCCAGGGCGACGGACAACCATGGACTCATGGCAAGTACATCCTGAAACAAGCCTGAAGCCAAGAACGCTAAACACAGAACGTTATTAGCCTTCCCCCCCCTCCCCCCCCCCCCACCCTCCCCCGCAGTCACAAGAGCAGGACTCATGGAAAGTATATCCTGAAACAAGCCTGAAGCCAAGAACGCTAAACACAGAACGTTATTAGCCTTCCCCCCCCCCTCCCCCCCCCCCACCTTCCCTCGCAGTCACAAGAGCAAGGTTTTCCCCCCTAATGCAAAAACTGGAATCGCGGAAAAAGCCGATTTTCCGAAAGGCCCAAATGATCCCTGAAAATCCGAAGACCTGGAAAGCCGAAACCCTCGTAAATACCGAGTCAAAAAGCCCTGAAGTGAAGGAAAACGCAGGGGCACAGACGCGCCACAGTCCAACTACATGCAGTGCATCTGATGGCGGCATCGTAGAGAAAGCCTTCAATGCTGTGAGAGACCAGAGCAAGGCGGATTGCAAGAGTGAGCTATGTGCCATGGCAAAAGATGGATCTTGGCATACTAATCCAGAGAAAGGGAAGAAGGAGCCATGGGTGCGGAACCTGGCAGCACCAGCAAGACTTCTGGATATTTGTATGTTTTTGTGTGCATGCTGAGTTGCCGACGCTGTGCACATTGGCGTAGAATGATCTCAGGTATGTCACCATTCTAGGCATCCCGGTACCTGGCGTTTGGGGCTGGGAGCTCGCTACCATTAAAAAATGCAGGTGGGCAATTGCAGGCCGACAGATCATCAATGCCAGCACCCTGTTTGATGGACTGGTGAAGGATGGAGTCTTTGACAAGACTGCTTGTGACTGAAACAGAACGTCCAACTACCAAACTCGATGAATAAGTGTGGCTCCATGTACGTGCTGCTATGGTGTGCAGTTGTTGGTTGATGGGTGGGACGTGACTCGCTCGCCAGCCAGATGTTTGCACCAGGTGACAATGTTCGCTGCGTCAACAGGATATGTTCTCAGGGGTGCATATGTGCACTGGCTGCAAACACAGCCGAACCTACAGGAGCCACGCCAGTGACAGAGTCTCAGTTGATGGAGCAGAAAGTTCCTTCACGTGTTTGTTTTATTCGGCCGTCCTTGTGCAAATGATCGACGGGATCGGCCACGATAGCCTGGGGGTGCGGAGACAGGGGATGTGAGTAGACGTGATACTACGTGATGAAGTTTCGTAGAGAAGATTC